AATTTTTCTCTATTATGCACTGTCCAAACGGAATGCTTAACGAGGCCAGTGAATTCCTCCCCACGCGTTGCGCTTTTCGCTTGGAAAGGTTTGGCAAGCGGCAGTGCTATACCCGTCGCGGGACCGTCAAGATGGATAGTGTTCAAGGTCAATATATGCGTATCAATCAGATTCTTATGTATCTCATTGGCCAATGGCCGTATCAGGAGAGATGGGAAAAATTTCTGATCCAATTCGTCTTCGTGCCCGCGGTTTTCTCTCAGGCGATTATTCAGGTAAATTCCCTTTTGAATTTTCCTTAAGTAACGCAATTAATGAGTTTTCATAAAATTATTGAATAATTAATCGCGCAGCAAAGATAATATATAGTAATTAACTATGCATATAATATAAAAGTCTAACGACGATCGAGTAAATGATGGCTACTAAGTTAGAAATTATATCTTTTTTTGTTTTGACCAATAATAAATCACGCTTATTATGATAAATAATATATTATTATAATAACAATACTTACTATTCTTCATTTTAAATTAGAATTATTAACGGCTCGTCTCCTCCTTGCCCGGCAACTTGAGATATAGAAATTTTATATTTTTTGAATTTGAAATCATAAAAAAATTATATTTTTGCAAGCTCATATTCTTGTTTTTGGAATATCGATTTATTTTTATGATATTTTACTTAAACGTAGCCGCATGCAAACTTGAAGAAACTTTGCAGGGCGGCGGCATGATCACTGCTTGGTTCGCGGACGACATTGATGCATTTATGGAGAGTTCGTCGCCTTTTGTAATTAGTTTAATGTGCATCGTTAAACATATTAATTATACGTACAACCATGGACAGGTATGTTTTTTCTCGAGGATGCGAGAGTAATCACTTTGTCGATACTAATCGTAGTTATTTGTTATACTAAATGTAGATGAAGAAACTTACCTTTATAATGGCGGACGATTGGAATATCTATTCAAAGCTTAGCGATGAGTACAATATTCTTTGTAAGAATTACGAGATGGGTAGAAAAGTCTCGATTGCTTATGCAGGTAAAAATTATACTCAAAATTTAATAGTTTCCTTTAAAATTTCGTGACGTAATTTAGATTAATTTTCAAAAGTAAAATAAGTGATATTTTGTATAAATTTCAAATATGTAATTTATATAAAATATTTGTGATATTTAAATATATATATATATATAAAATAAAATATATTTTAAATATTATAATTCTAAATTAAAAAATTTATATAAAATATAAATTCTTTTTAAACAAAATTAAAATACATTTCGCATACATATTCTAAGTTGAAAAGTTAATAAAAAACCATGGGAACACGATTCTTGATTGATATATAATTTACAGTCTCTCTATATGGTTCAATGACTCCCTTTCTGATTGTACCGGTGATAATAAACACAGTCAGCTACATGGGGTTGTACAACATTTCCGATAGACCCCTGATGTTTCGCACGGAATACTTTATAGATTCCGAGAAGTATTACTACCCGTTATTGGTGCATTCGTACATCGGCACCCTCGGATTCGTCACGATCGTCGTGGCGATCGACTCGATGTTGGTGTTTCACGTTCAACATGAATGTGGGATGTGCGAGATCCTAGGGTAACTCCGCAATAATGACACTTCGTAAGACTGAACAACATTTTCATTCGAAACGCATCTTGTGTATTTGTTATACTCGCATGTACATGTTGCTTGCGAGAAATCCGATCGGTATTAATCTCATCTCATATTGGATCCCATATTGTCACACGTTTCTTACACATTTTATTAAATCTTTGATACATTGAAATATATGTATATATAATATATACTTTATGCCGTGTAATTTATTATTGTTGAGCGAGAGAGGAAGAGTGAAAGTGCGGAATAAATATTTGTCATTGGTCATCGAATGTCTTATTAATGCGTGTTACCCGAATTCATTTCATCCATACATCACGTCGTGAAGATAGAATGACATATACATAGTCAGAGAAGGTAGAGATATTAAATCGGCGGCGATATTAAATTTTAATGTTAATTATTCATCTACATCATTCGATCGAATTTTAACATGCTTGGACTCTACCTACGTTTAAGATACGTTTATCAATAAGCATTTTTTAGATATCGGCTAGCACGGATTGTTGAAGCAGATACTTTAGACATAAATTTGTATACGAGCACAGAAGAGGCTATATCATATGGATATATTAAGAATTGTGTTATCATGCACAATCATATAATAGAGTTAGTATCTCTGAATAATTACATTATCACTTTTGTTGCCAGTTATTTGATATACCTATGCGTTTTTTTATATTTTTTATTGAAAATCATTTAGTTTGATATTTTTGCTTCTTTTACGTATGTAATGGATTGAATGTGTATAAATTCCATTCAGTTTTTGTCTATATTATTAATTTTATTTAATAATTAATCTTCTTTTTAAATTGACCAATGTCTTATTCTTTATTATTTGAAATTTATACTTTAACACATGTATCTTTTTATTATTAAATTTATTCATTTTTCTCGGACATGAAGGTATGCTAGACGTATCGAGATTGCAAATACGACATCGTATTTTTTTCAACTGGGTTTCAATATGATGGGCATGACATTCACAATATTCCAGGTCAGAACAATGATAAATACACATGTGCAATCATGATTATCATTAGTAATAAGCTTTACGTCCATTAAAAACTTTGTCTTTTTTATGATGTTTGACTATCATTTTTAAAATTAGATTTAATTTCTTTAGACTTGTAATTATATACATGCGAGTATAACAAAATGAATTTATGTTTATGAGTTAGGCAGTGGTAAAGTTGAGTGATCCAAATGAAGCCCTGCGATTTGTGTCGTTCACGGTGACCCTGTTATCCGTACTCTTCCTCGAAAGCTGGCCAGGTCAGCAACTATCAGATTATACTGACAAAATTTTTGCGTTTATGTAAGTACTTCGCAGTGGAGGCATTTTATTACAGTTCAGTATTGACAATTTCTGAAAACAACTGTAAGTAATAACGCAGTTCAGATATTGACACATTCGGCCTATATATGAAATTTTACACACATCGCTTTACACACATTTGCTAGAAATAATTATATAAATAAAAAATAGTCTGATACACATCGGTATTTCAGAACAAATGGAAGATGGTATCAGTCTTCGCTAAGAGTAAGAAAAGTGATCAGCATTATGCTAATGAGGAGCTACGCGCCAATAAAGATAACTGCGGGCAAACTGTACGCCTTGAACTTGGCAAACTTCGCTTCAGTAAGATAACATCTCCAAAAACGAGATCTAACGTCGTATTGCCGTAAAGTTTGACACACCGTTTTTTCAAGGTCGTACGCACGTCGTTTTCTTACTTCACTGTCCTCTGTTCTATGCAATGAGCGAAACTTGCTATAGCTCAAAAGCTATTATTGATGACAACAACTACAAGCAACTGATTTGCCCTTGTCTCCTTTTTCATGACGACTCGTGAGTTACAATTGACGATGGCTACGACGATTCGGTAAAGTCGATTTACTTAAATATTTTTGGCGCGCGATTAGAGCATTCACGAGAAAAATAAAGTAAAAATCATAATACATTGTTTAACAGATTAACGTGTTCCGAAAGAATTTTTCTTTACTTTAAAAGTTAATAGGTTTCTTACAATTTTATTTAACTATCTACAGAAACGGCATTGAAAGGAAAATTATCCTATGAAGCAGTCTATGTGCGCAGTCTTTCTCATTTCTATTTGTTCCTAAAATATGATGAATATGAGATGAATATGAGATGAATACGTAATACAAATATCACCAGTTACGATCAAAATTTTTGTTATGGAGATTGTAGTATCAAAAATTATGACGATGATGTATAAAATACATTTAACAAAATTTTATTTTCATTGCACATTAATATCTTTTAAAACAATTATACATACTGTGTTAAAAGTTACATATAATAATACAGTAATTTTACTCACTTTTAGTATCGATGGTATTTCACTTCTCATTATAAAAAGCTTTCTCACCACTACCAGTGTACCATATCCCTGTGTATTAAATCTACAAATTTTAAAACCATAGACTTATGAGATATAAATTTGTCAAAAATCTATTATACTGCATACTGCCATTTTTAAAAGGTTTCTGTACTTTCATTTGTAATAAAGTACATAATATTATATGATAATATTCTTTCTCAAAGAATAAAAATGCAAGTATGGGTACCAATATTTTTATATTTGAGTACTCTTCAGCATTATTACGTTAAAAAGATTTGGATTTGAGCATGAATTATTCAATTTTGATCTGCAACTTGTGTTGAAAATTATATTACCATGTGTGTCAGGTATAAAAACATTCTTATAAAAAAATTACTTTCTTCTCATGTAAAATATATATACAAATTGTATTAGACAGCTCAACAAGTTCAATAAGAATTGTATTAAAGTTATTCAGCTGTCGTCGTACATCGGCGTCTACAAACGACTGCTTCGATTACTCCTTATCCTAACTAGCATGTGATAAAGAAATTCAGTAAGTAAGTTGAGCGATGATGTACGCAAAATGTCGAATTGCAATTATTGAGGAGCTGAGATTAAATTTAATTATATGGAAATGCGATCTAAAAATTTTTTATTAAATATATATTGTTTTAAGTTACATCAATAAATTCGTAAATAAATAAAGTAAATATTAATACAGCAAAACAATTTTTTTAATAAGTCTTAACTGGCACATGTCACACATTATCGCACTTGAAATTAATTACTAGTAATTCCTTATTAGCTAATAATTTCTATATGACAGTTCTATTAATAAATTTATTCACTTCAGATTTTATTGAACTATTTAATAAAAAGGCACTGGAAGGAGCAGTTGTTTCTATAAAAGTACATTCTTAAAAAATCTCATTTCTATTGATTGCTAGAGTGAGAAGAATGATAATACATAAATATATTATCAATTACGGTGAGAAATTTTTGTTACAAAGACCGTAGTAGCATAAAGTATGACGATGACGTACGTAATACCTGAAACAGAATTTTATTTTTATAAAATCATTTTATACGTATGTATACCACAAAATAATTACACTTACTGTATTAAAAGTTATATATGACAATACAACGATTTTACCCATTCTCAGTCCCAATGGTTTTTCACTTCTCATCATTATCATTATAAGAAGCTTTCTTGCTGCTATAGGCATACTATACCATTCAGTATTATATCTGTAAATTTTGCAAACAATCTATTTGAAATCATGTTATATACTTATACTTCTGTTTAACGTTTCGTTACGTTTTTATAGATTAATGATTTTTTCAAATGTGTTACTTTTAATATTATACAAAACGTACGCAGATTCGAACACTTTCTCGCTGGAATCTATGATTTTCTGACCCTGCCAGTTTACAAAGAATACGGTAAATAAAATTCCATTTAGATAAGCAATGAGTTTTACAAGTCGATTAACGTCTTGCACGTTATTTATCACCTACACGATAACGAAACGTATAATTAATAAAATATAATAAATACATCATTTAATACAATAAATACATTCATTTATAATTAAATCAATTAATTTTGCTGTTTTTCATCATCTTGTCATTTAAGTAATTTGTGTGGATAGGAATATATATATATATATCCAAGAACTGTTGCAGTTCTTGGATATATTTCTATCTGGAAAAAATTTTCATTAGCTGTATCGTATACCTGATACCCCAGAAAACTTATAATAAATACAGTTAATCCTGTTTGTATATTGTCTGTATGGAGAGAGCTAAGCTATATGCTGACTCCACAATGGCAACAAATCTAGCATAGTGTACACAAAAATATTAATTATTTCTTACTATTGCCCACACGAAAGTAACACTCTATACGCCTAAACGTGTACTCACTGCATCGCCTCTGTGTGTCTGCGAATACTGTAGATAATATTTGAGTAACATTTATCCTTTGTCATCCTTACTTTGGAAACTAACGCAATTTCCAACCGAGATCTAAACTCAATATTATTACAAAGTTTACAGGAATAATTTTTGGAACAAATTTTGCAGCAGACAAATTGTTCCTTTTTTGTTTTGGACTGGTATCTTAATAAAAATCATGTATTTAAACCATGATCGTTTACTAAACTTACCTTAAAGCTACGAACAAACCGCAACTGTGTTCGATCACTATTAGATACAGAACATCGGATACAGCTAGTAAGACTGTGTATATAAAGTCACATAAACTACAATGTATGAAAATTGGAACGTAATACGTGTCTAGATCAATCACGTAATTAACGCGATAAGGCAATCCTGTTTGGGATTTCAGCTCTTTATTTGCTAACTCATTAGTATTGTTGGATTCCACGTAAGAAAGTTTTGTCAATAGTGGTGCAAATAAATAAAGGACGGTATGGCTTAATAAGAAACCTAAATTACAGGAAAAATTTCATAAATTATCTGTCACATTTTGACATGATATAATGAGTATAACAAGCTATTCCATATCGTAAATTAGTACTTTTAGCACAGAACAATTTACAAAAATTATATTATATTAAAATGTCATTTAATGCTATCTACAAAATGACGATAAACTTCGTGCGACTTTAAAAAATTCATCGAACACCGATTTTTTATCATTATTTGTTTCCATTAATATACAAATTTTTTCTGAAACATTTTTTTCAAAAATACTTGTGTTTCAAAATAACCAATTATATTATTTGAATTAAAACATCCCGTAGATTATCAAATGCTTTTAATGATATGTATATTGTGATATGACTCTCAACATCATTCAGGAACAGAAATGTATATACTCTAATGTGCCGAATATTTGGCACTTCACTGTATTATATTAAGTCCGATTGTACTGTGAAAGTCACCCGTATAAGCGTAGCCTATCTTTCGCCCATATAGCGCATGCGAATTCTGTATCTTTTCTTCCTCATCCGACTTTGGGGAAAGACAGTACTCGTGCATCTTTATTAGAAGCATTTTGATCTATGACTCGAAAAAAATTCAGATATAAGATATAATTTTGCATTACTTTCCGTATTAGCTATTACTTTTATCGTTAATTATTTATTTATCAGTAGTATTTATCGATACTATTTATCGATATACGCCGCGATGCCGTCTTTATTGACATACCTGTGGTAATGCATATATTGTACAGAACGTTTTACTTATAGTCACTACAGCGAAAAATAATGTCGGCACGGTATCGAGCAGTTCGAAGGGATCATGCCAGATTTCAGTAATACCCAAAATCTGCAATTTCCGTTATGTACAACATTGTGCACACGTCGTGCAACAAATAATTTGAATTGAAATGTCAGAAATAACATTAATTATGTGAAGTGCATTTAAAATGAGAATTTTTGTGCACATATAATTGTTTTGGAGAAGATAAGTAAAGAGAGATATTTATTTTTCACCCTTTTTTGGAAGATAGAACCGTAATAAAAGCTATAATAGTGCATGCAATACTGTTTTAAGATTATACTTTATCTTATGTTCATGTATCTTTTACTTGGAATATAAGTCCAGATCCGAGTATAAGCACCATAGCGAGATATATCCCGTAACGCCTGTTTCGCGTATGAAAAGGCCATAGACCACTAATGCTTAATAGTAGTCGAATGATGTTGTAATGCGAATCCTGAAAGAACTGATCAATATCACCCATTCTGTCTTTTACTTCCCGCCGTTATTATTACAGAAGCGAAATTCTGTATCTATGTGATGCCTCAACTTCAACAAAGAATACAATTCACATTAATTTCCTATTGACAATTCTGTTTAATGTTGGCAGTTGTAAAATCAAAAATACATGTCTGACACATTTATCATTCAAATCGTGCATTGTAAAGTCGCGAGATTATCTTATTATCTATGTAAATTGCAGTGATAGAGGAAGGGGATAGCCATACTGAAAATGTTATCTTTGTACATGCGATGCAGATAAAAGGAGTATGAAAATTTTATTTCCAAGTAAAGTCGATCACTATTATGTGAAAATACAGTCAGTTCAGAATTCGTTATATGCAGATATCACAGACCTGTGAGGTAAAAGCTTATCAAAGCTTATGAAAAAACTATTGTATACTGCCATTTTTTAAAGTTTTCTATACTTTTATTAAAAATATAAAGGAAATTCTTTTTCAAAGGGTGCAAGTGCAAGTGTAGGTATTGATTATATTTTATATTTAATTATGACTTTCCAGTAGTCGTTGTATAACGTGAAGTGCTCTTTAATATTTTTACGTTCTAGACTTGGCTTTTAGCATAATTTGTACAACTTTTCTCTATAACGTGTATCAAAAACTATATCATTATATGTGTCCAGAATAAAAATTTTTTGTGTAGAAATTATTTTCTTTTTACGAGGGCAAATCAATAAGTACTCGTTTGAAGACAGATGACATTGCTCATGCAAATTAGCATTACCATCGTGTACTACCATCTTTCAAATAACGCCATACAAATTTTCAGAGTGATTCATGCAATAGTCTTGATTAGACAGCAATTCATAGTGAGAGTGTTTGATGTTTTCCCATACAATGGAAAAAGAACAATATCGATCCGTGATTCGCTTTTTATTTTTGGATGGAAAAACGTGGGAAGAAATAAAATCGAAGATGGATGCCATCTATGGGAACCCTTCACCATCTATGACAACCGTCAGATATTGGTTCAACGAATTCAAATGTGGTCGTTCGTCTGTTTTTGATGAGGAGCGCTCATGACGCCCGGCAGACGTACTTACTGAGGAAATCGTTGAAAATGTCCACGTCATAATTCTCGCTGATCGCCGAATGAAAGTGCGTGAAGTAGCAGAGGCCATAGGCGTGTCGTATGGAACGGCATTCAATATTTTGCATGATAATTTGGGAATGAAAAAGCTGTTGGCCCGATGGGTGCCGCGATTGCTCACGGTGGACAACAAGCGAATGCGGCTATCAATTTCAAAGCAATGTTTGGAGTTGTTAATATTAATTATTCATCTATATCATTCGATCGAATTTTAACATCCTTGGACTCTACCTATGTTTAAGATACGTTTATCAATAAGCATTTTTTAGATATCGGCTAGCACGGATTGTTGAAGCAGGTACTTTAGACATAAATTTGTATACGAGCACAGAAGAGGCTATATCATATGGATATATTAAGATTTGTGTTATCATGCACAATCATATAATAGAGTTAGTATCTCTGAATAATTACATTATCACTTTTGTTGCCAGTTATTTGATATATCTAAGCGTTTTTGTATTTTTTATTGAAAACCATTTAGTTTGATATTTTTCTTCTTTTACGTATGTAATGGATTGAATGTGTATAAATTCCATTCGGTTTTGTCTACATTATTAATTTTATTTAATAATTAATCTTCTTTTTAAATTGATCTATGTCTTATTCTTTATTCTTTGAAATTTATACTTTAACACATGTATCTTTTTATTATTAACTTTATTCATTTTTCTCGGACATGAAGGTATGCTAGACGTATCGAGATTGCAAGTACGACATCGTATTTTTTTTCAACTGGGTTTCAAAATGATGGGCATGACATTCACAAATTCCAGATCAGTACAATGATAAGTACACATGTGCAATCATGATTATCATTAGTAATAAGCTTTACGTCCATTAAAAACTTTGTCTTTTTTATGATGTTTGACTATCATTTTTAAAATTAGATTTAATTTCTTTAGACTTGTAATTATATACATGCGAGTATAACAAAATGAATTTATGTTTATGAGTTAGGCAGTGGTAAAGTTGAGTGATCCAAATGAAGCCCTGCGATTTGTGTCGTTCACGATGACTCTGTTATCCGTACTCTATCTCGAAAGCTGGCCGGATCAGCAACTATCAGATTATACTGACAAAATTTTTGCGTTTATGTAAATACTTCGCAATGGAGGCACTTTATTACAGTTCAGTATTGACAATTTCTGAAAACAACTGTAAATATTAACACGCAGTTGAGATATTGACACATTCGGCCTATATATGAAATCGCTTTACATATGTTTGCTAGAAATAATTATATAAATAAAAAATAGTGTGATACACATCGGTAATTCCGAACCAGTGGAAGATGGTATCTGTCTTCGCTGAGAGTAAGAAAAGTGATCAGCATTATGCTAATGAGGAGCTACGCGCCAATAAAGATAACTGCGGGCAAACTGTACGCCTTGAACTTGGCAAACTTCGCTGCAGTAAGATAACATCTCCAAAAACGAGATCTAACGTCGTATTGCCGTAAAGTTTGAAACACACCGTTTTTTCAAGGTCGTACGCATGTCGTTTTCTTACTTCACTGTCCTCTGTTCTATGCAATGAGCGAAACTTGGTATAGCTCAAAAGCTATTATTGATGACAACAACTACAAGCAACTGATTTGCCCTTATCTCCTTTTTCATGACGTCTCGTGAGTCACAATTGACGATGGCTACGACAATTCGGTAAAGTCGATATACTTAAATATTTTTGGCGCGCAATATGAGCATTCACGAGAAAAATAAAGTAAAAATCACAATACATTGTTTAATAGATTAACGTGTTCCGAAAGAATTTTTCTTTACTTTAAAAGTTAATAGGTTTCTTACAGTTTTATTTAACTATCTACAGAAACGGCATTGAAAGGAAAATTATCCTATGAAGCAGTCTATGTGCGCAGTCTTTCTCATTTCTATTTGTTCCTAAAATGTGATTAAGATGAGATGAATATGAGATGAATACGTAATACAAATATCACCAGTTACGATCAAGATTTTTGTTATAGATATTGTAGTATCAAAAATTATGACGATGATGTATGCAATACATTTAACAAAATTTTATTTTCATTGCACATTAATATCTTTTAAAACAATTATACTTACTGTGTTAAAAGTTACATATAATAATACAGTAATTTTACCCATTTTTAGTATCAATGGTATTTCACTTCTCATTATAAAAAGCTTTCTCACCACTACCAGTGTACCTTATCACTATGTATTAGGTCTGCAAATTTTAAAACCATAGACTTATGTGATATAAGTTTGTGAAAAATCTGTTAAACTGCATACTGCCATTTTTAAAAGGTTTCTGTACTTTCGTTTATAATAAAGATAATATTCTTTCTCAAAGAATAAAAATGCAAGTATAAGTACCAATATTTTTATATTTGAGTATGATTTTCTAATAGCCAATGTAAAGTACCTACTCTTCAGCATTATTACGTTAAAAAGATTTGGATTTGAGCATGAATTATTCAATTTTGCTCTGCAACTTGTATTGAAAATATATTGTCACGTGTGTCAGGAATAAAAATATTCTTATAAAAAAAATACTTTCTTCTCATGCAAAATATACAGGGTGTCCCAGTAACTCTGTTACAATGCAATATCTCCGTTACCGTTAATGGTACGCGAAAATGCGTAAGGAAGAAATTATTTGATTCGAAGGGACACACATTATGGTGGGAATTATTTTTAGAGCCTTCAAGGTCATCAATATTTTTTAAAATAGGACTACATATTTTTATCATAATAGCGTAATAGCTGAGGTCAGGACGAATCCAATGGCCTATAATACCATAACCTTCACGTGACTTTGAGTATGAAAAATCAGAAATTTTGAGGAATGGCTGTGAATAACCAAATAAGTAGAATAGAAAGTTTGGCATAGGATTTATTGTAATATGTGTTCAAAGTTGTTTCCATGAACTTTTAAACATTTGTTAATTGGAGTATTAAATGCACATCTGCGAACATTTTGGGCCTACATTTCTTTCTATGGGGCTTTATCAAAGAGAAAGTTTTTTCAACAAAGCCTACGACACGTGATGACATGAAAGAAATAATCCGACAAGCTTGTGCTGCTGTAACACCCTAAATGTTTGCAGATGTGCGACGTTCGTTTAATACTCGAATTAACAAATACTTAGAAGTCCATGGAAACAATTTTGAACAATTATTACAATAAATTTTTCTATGCCAAACTTTCTATTGTACTTATTTCATTATTCGCATTCATTGCTCAAAATTTCTGAATTTTTCATACTCAAGATCACGTGAAGGTAATGGTATTATAGGCTATTGGATTCGTCTTGATCTCAGCTATTATGCTAAAAATATGTAGTCGTATTTAAAAAAATATTGATGACTTTAAAGGCTCTAAAAATATGACCTTGAGAAAGGAATAATTCCCACCATAATGTGTGACCCTTTGAACCAAATAATTCTTTCCTTAAGCGTATCATTAACGGTAACGGAGGTATTGCCTTATAACAGAGTTACTGGGATACCCTGTCTATTCAAATTGTATTAAACAGCTCAACAAGTTTAATAAGAATTGTATTAAACTTATTGAGATGTCGTAGTACATTTTTACGTTACATCGGCGTCTACAAACGACTGCTTCGATTACTCCTTATCCTAACTAGCATGTGATAAAGAAATTCAGTAAGTAAGTTGAGCGATGTGTATGCAAAATGTCGAATTGCAATTATTTAAGTTGGAATTAAATTTAATTATAGGGAAATGCGATCTAAAAATTTTTTATTAAATATATATTGTTTTTAAGTTACATTAATAAATTAAATTCGTAAATAAATAAAGTAAATATTAATAAAGCAAAACAATTTTTTTAATAATGTGCCTTAATTGGCACATGTCATATATTATCGCACTTGAAATTAATTGCTAGCAATTCCTTATTGGCTAATAATTTCTATGTGAATAGTTCTATTAATAAATTTACTCACTTCAGATTTTATTGAATCATTTAATAAAAGGGCACTGAAAGGAGCAGTTGTTTCTATAAAAGTACTTAAACAATCTCATTTCTATTGATTATTAGACTGAGAAGAATGATAATACATAAATATATTATCAATTACCGTGAGAAATTTTTGTTACAAAGACCGTAGTAGCATAAAGTATGACGATGACGTACGTAATACCTGAAACAGAATTTTATTTTTATAAAATCATTTTATACGTATGCATACCACAAAATAACTACACTTACTGTATTAAAAGTTATATATGACAATACAACGATTTTACCCATTCTCAGTCCCAATGGTTTTTCACTTCTCATCATTATCATTATAAGAAGCTTTCTTGCTATTATAGGCATGCTATACCATTCATTATTATATCTGTAAATTTTGCAAATAATTTATTTGAAATTATGTTATATACTTATACTTCTGTTTAACATTTCGTTACGTTTTTTTAGATTAATGACTTTTTCAAATGTGTTACTTTTAATATTATACAAAACGTACGCAGATTCGAACACTTTCTCGCTAGAATCTATGACTTTCTGACCCTGCCAATTTACAAAGAATATGGTAAATAAAGTTCCATTTAGATAAGCAATGAGTTTTACAAGTTGATTAACGTCTTGCCCGTTATTTATCACCTACACGATAACGAAACGTATCATTAATAAAATATAATAAAAATACATCAATTAATACAATAAATACAGTCAGTTATAATAAAATCAAGTAATTTTGCTGTTTATTCATTTAAGTAATTTGTGTGTGATTGGAATATATATATATATATATATATGTCCATGAACTGTTGCAGTTCTTGGATATATTCCTATCTCGAAAAAATTTTCATTAGCTGTATCGTGTACCTGATACCCCAGAAAACTTATAATAAGTACAGCTAATCCTGTCTGTATGGAGAGAGCTAAGCTATATGCTGACTCCACAATGGCAACAAATCTAGCATAGTGCATACAAAAATATTAATTATTTGTTACTATTGCCCACACGAAAGTAACACTATACGCCTAAACATGTACTCACTGTATCGTCTCTGTGTGTCTGCGAATACTGTAGATAATATTTGAGTAACATTTATCCTTTGTCATCCTTACTTTGGAAACTAACGAAATTTCCAACCGAAATCTAAACTCAATATTATTACAAAGTTTACAGAAATAATTTTTGGGACAAATTTTACAGCAGACAAATTGTTCCTTTTTTGGACTGGTATCTTAATAAAAATTATGTATTTAAACCATGATTGTTTATTAAACTTACCTTAAAGCTACGAACAAACCGCAACTGTGTTCGATCACTATTAGATACAGAACATCGGATACAGCTACTAAGACTGTGTATATAAAGTAACATATACTACAATGTATGAAAATTGGAACGTAATACGTATCTAGATCAATCATGTAATTAACGCGATAAGGCAATCCTGTTTGGGATTTCAGCTCTTTATTTGCTAACTCATTAGTCTTGTTGGATTCCATGTAAGAAAGTTTTGTCAATAGTGGTGAAAATAAATAAAGGACGGTATTGCTTAGTAAGATACCTAAATTACAGGAAAATTTTCATAAATTATCTGTCACATTTTGACATGATATAATGAGTATTACAAGCTATTCCATATCGTAATTTAGTACTTTTAGCACAGAACAATTTACAAAAATTGTATTATATTAAAATGTCATTTAATGCTATCTTACAAAATGACGATAAACTTCGTGCGACTTTAAAAAATTAATCGAACACCGATTTTTTATCATTATTTGTTTCCATTAACTATACAAATTTTTTCTGAAACATTTTTTCCAAAAATGCTCTTCTTTTAAAATAACCAATTATATTATTTGAATTAAAACATCCCGTAGATTATCAAATGTTTTTAATGATAGGTATATTGTGATATGACTCTCAAAATCATTAAGGAACACAAATGTATATACTGATGTGCCGAATATTTGGCACTTCACTGTACTGTTAAAGTTACCCGTATAAGCGTAGCCTATCTTTCGTCCATATAGCGCGTGCGAATTCTGTATCTGTTCTTCCTCATCCGACTTCGGGGAAAGACAATACTCGTGCATCTTTATTAGAAGTATTTTGATCTATGACTCGAAAAAGGTTCAGATATAATGTATAATTTTGCATTACTTTCCGTATTTGCTATTACTTTTATGGTTAATTATTTATTTATCAGTAGTATTTATCGGTACTATTTATCGATATACGCCGCGATGCCGTCTTTATTTACATACCTGTGGTAATGCATGTATTGTACAGAACGTTTTACTTAGAATCACTACAGCGAAAAATAATACCAGCACAGTATCGAGCAGTTCGAAGGGATCATGCCAGATTTCAATAATACCCAAAATCTGCAATTTCCGTTATTTACAACATTGTGCACACGTCGTGCAACAAATAATTTCAATTTAGATGTTAGAAATAACTAATTATGTGAAGTGCATTTAAAATGAGTATTTTTGTGCACATATACTATAATTGTTTTGGAGAAGATATGTAAAGAGAGATATTTATTTTTTACCCTTTTTTGGAGGATAGAACCATAATAAATGCTATAATAGTGCATGGAATACTGTTTTAAGATTATACTTTATCTTATGTTCGTGTATCTTTTACTTGAAATATAAGTCCAGATCCGAGTATAAGCACCATAGCGAGATATATCGCGTAACGCCTGTTTCGCGTATGAAAAGGCCATAGACCACTGATGCTTAGTAGTAGTCGAATGATGTTATAATGCGAATCCTGAAAGAACTGATCAATATCACCCATTCTGTCTTTTACTTCCTGCCGTTATTATTACAGAAGCGAAATTCTGTATCTGTGTGATACCCCAACTTCAACCAAGAATACAATTCACATTAATTTCCTATTTACAATTCTGTTTAATGTTGGCAATTGTAAAATCAAAAATACATGTCTGACACATTTATCATTAAAATCTTGCATTGTAAAGTCGCGAGATTATCTTATGTAAATTGCACAGTGATAGAGATAGGGGATAGTCATACTGAAAATGTTATCTTTGTAGTTGCGATGCAGATAAAAGAGGTATGAAAATTTTATTTCCAAGTAAAGTCGATCGAGACTATTATGTGAAAATACAGTCGCTTCAGAATTCGTTTTATTCAGATATCACAGACCTGTGACGTAGAAGCTTACCAAAGCTTATGAAAAATCTATTGCATACTGCCATTTTTTAAAGTTTTCTATATTTTTATTAAAAATATAAAGAAAATTCTTTTTCAAAGTGTGCAAGTGCAAGTGTTAGGTATTGATTATATTTTATATTTATGATTTTCCAGTATTCGTCGTATAACGTGAAGTGCTCCTTAATGTTATTACGTTCTAGACTTGGCTTTTAGCATAATTCGTCGTACAACTGTTCTTTAACGTGTATCAAAAACTATATTATTATGTGTTAAGAATAAAAATTTTTTATGTAGAAATTATTTTCTTTTTACGAGGGCAAATCAATAAGTACTCGTTTGAAGACAGGTGACATTGCTCATGCAAATTAGCATTACCATCGTGTACTACCATCTTTCAAATAACGTCATACAAATTTTCAGAGTGATTCATGCAATAGTCTTGATTTGACAGCAATTCGTAGTGAGAGTGTTTGATGTTTTCCCATACAATGGAAAAAGAACAATATCGATCCGTGATTCGCTTTTTATTTTTGAATGGAAAAACGTGCAAAGAAATAAAAACGAAGTTGGATGTCGTCTATGAGAACCCTTCACCATCTAAAACTACCGTCAGATATTGGTTCAACGAATTCAAATGTGGTCGTTCGTCTGTTTTTGATGAGGAGCGCCCGCAGACGTGGTTACTAAGGAAATCGTTGAAAAAGTCCACTACATAATTTTCGCTGATCGCCTAACGAAAGTGCGTGAAGTAGCAGAAGCCATAGGCGTGTCTTATGGAACGGCATTCAATATTTATGATAATTTGGGTATGAAGAAGCTGTCGGCCCGATGGGTGCCGCGATTGCTCATGGTAGGCAACAAGCGAATGCGGCTATCAATTTAAAAGCAATGTTTGGAGCTGTTAATATTAATTATTCATCTACATCATTCGAATTTTAACATTCTTGAACTTTACCTACGTTTAAGATACGTTTATCAATAAACATTTTTTAAATATCGGCTAGCACGGATTGTTGAAGCAGATACTTTAGACATAAGTTTGTATACGAGCACAGAAGAGGCTATATCATGTGGATATATTAAGAATTGTGTTACCATGCACAATCATATAATAGAGTTAGTATCTCTGAATAATTACATTATCACTTTCGATGCCAGTTATTTGATATACCTATGCGTGTTTGTAATTTTTAATGAAAACCATTTAGTTTGATATTTTTGCTTCTTTTACGTATGTAATAGATTGAATGTGCATAAATTCCATTCAGTTTTTGTCTACATTATTAATATTATTTAATAATTAATCTTCTTTTTAAATTGACCTATGTCTTATTCTTTATTGTTTGAAATTTATACTTTAACATATATATCTTTTTATTGTTAACTTTATTCAGTTTTCTCGAATATGAAGGTATGCTAGACGTATCGAGATTGCAAATACGACATCGTATTTTTTTCAACTGGGTTTCAATATGATGGGCATGACATTCACAATATTCCAGGTCAGAGCAATGATAAGTACACACGTGCAATCATGATTATCATTAGTAATAAGCGTCCATTAAAAACTTTGTCTTTTGTATGATATTTGACTATAATTTTTAAAATTAGAATTAATTTCTTTAGACTTATAATTATATACATGTGAGTATAAGAAAATGGATTTATGTTTATGAGTTAGGCAGTGGTAAAGTTGAGTTATCCAAATGAAGCTCTGCGATTTGTATCGTTCACGGTGACTCTGTTATACTCTTCCATGAAAGCTGACCGGGTCAGCAACTAACAGATTATACTGACAAAATTTTTGCGTTTGTGTAAGTACTTCGCAATGGAGGCATTTTATTACAGTTCAATATTGACAATTTCCGAAAACAACTGTAAGTAATAACACGCAGTTCAGATATTGACACGTTCGGCCTATATATGGTATCGCTTTACACACGTTTGCTAGAAATAATTATATAAATAAAAAATAGTCTGATACACATCGGTATTTCAGAACCAATGGAAGGTGGTATCAGTCTTCGCTGAGAGTAAGAAAAGTGATCAGCATTATGCTAATGAGGAGCTACGCGCCAATAAAGATAACTGCGGGCAAACTGTACGCCTTGAACTTGACAAACTTCGCTGCAGTAAGATAACATCTCCAAAAACGAGATCTAACGTCGTATTGCCGTAAAGTTTGACACACCGTTTTTTCAAGGTCGTATGCACGTCGTTTTCTTACTTCACTGTCCTCTGTTCTGTGCAATGAGCGAAACTTGCTATAGCTCAAAAGCTATTATTGATGACAACAACTACAAGCAACTGATTTGCCTTTATCTCCTTTTTCATGACGACTCGTGAGTTACAATTGACGATGGCTACGACGATTCGGTAAAGTCGATATACTTAAATATTTTTGGCGCGCGATTAGAGCATTCACGAGAAAAATAAAGTAAAAATCACAATACATTGTTTAACAGATTAACGTGTTCCGAAAGAATTTTTCTTTACTTTAAAAGTTAATAGGTTTCTTACAGTTTTATTTAACTATCTACAGAAACGGCATTGAAAGGAAAATTATCCTATGAAGCAGTCTATGTGCGCAGTCTTTCTCATTTCTATTTGTTCCTAAAATGTGATTAAGATGAGATGAATATGAGATGAATACGTAATACAAATATCACCAGTTACGATCAAGATTTTTGTTATAGATATTGTAGTATCAAAAATTATGACGATGATGTATGCAATACATTTAACAAAATTTTATTTTCATTGCACATTAATATCTTTTAAAACAATTATACTTACTGTGTTAAAAGTTACATATAATAATACAGTAATTTTACCCATTTTTAGTATCAATGGTATTTCACTTCTCATTATAAAAAGCTTTCTCACCACTACCAGTGTACCTTATCACTATGTATTAGGTCTGCAAATTTTAAAACCATAGACTTATGTGATATAAGTTTGTGAAAAATCTGTTAAACTGCATACTGCCATTTTTAAAAGGTTTCTGTACTTTCGTTTATAATAAAGATAATATTCTTTCTCAAAGAATAAAAATGCAAGTATAAGTACCAATATTTTTATATTTGAGTATGATTTTCTAATAGCCAATGTAAAGTACCTCTCAAAGAATAAAAATGCAAGTATAGGTACCAATATTTTTATATTTGAGTATGATTTTCTAATGCCAATGTAAACTACTTTTCAGCATTATTACGTTAAAAAGATTTGGATTTGAGCATGAATTATTCAATTTTGCTCTGCAACTTGTATTGAAAATATATTGCCATGTGTGTCAGGAATAAAAATATTCTTATAAAAAAAATACTTTCTTCTCATGCAAAATATACAGGGTGTCCCAGTAACTCTGTTACAATGCAATATCTCCGTTACCGTTAATGGTACGCGAAAATGCGTAATATACAGGGTGTCCCAGTAACTCTGTTACAATGCAATATCTCCGTTACCGTTAATGGTACGCGAAAATGCGTAAGGAAGAAATTATTTGATTCGAAGGGACACACATTATGGTGGGAATTATTTTTAGAGCCTTCAAGGTCATCAATATTTTTTAAAATAGGACTACATATTTTTATCATAATAGCGTAATAGCTGAGGTCAGTGTCATATTTTTAGAGCCTTCAAGGTCATCAATATTTTTAAAAATAGAACTACATATTTTTATTATAATAGCGTAATAGCTGAGGTCAAGACGAAACCAATGGCCTATAATAACGTAACCTTCACGTGACTTTGAGTATGAAAAATCAGAAATTTTGAGGAATGGCTGTGAATATAATAGAAAGTTTGGCATAGGATTTATTGTAATATGTGTTCAAAGTTGTTTCCATGAACTTCTAAACATTTGTTAATTGGAGTATTAAATGCACATCTGCGAACATTTTGGGCCT